TTTTAATCATTACTAAATATTCTCAAATTCTAAAAGACCAAATTTAATAATTTTCACATCACATGGTCTTGATGCTGCATTAATGCGGTTAATGATGCATACCCTATCAAATTTGTATGTTTATTCTTCATTTGGATAGGCACTACCAAATTTATTTATAATATATATATCGTGAATTTTGGAAAGCGTCTGTGGCCTAGTCGGCAAGTACGTTGCTTACCAATCCGATGGTTATGGGTTCGAATCCCAGCAATGATCATATTTTTTTTTAATCTAACTTGGTGGTTCCGTCCTTGGGAGATGATATATAGGAGGCCGGACTCGACCACGTGATTCCGTTATAATATGTTAAATAATAAGGGTCTTATTACATTTTAATAAATTTTGGTATTTGGTAGTATCTATCAAATAAAAATTGTAAAATCACGATTCGCTCGGTATTGCCTTTGGTAGTAAGCATCATTAACTCATTAATGCAATTGTAATTTTTTTAGAGACAGTGAAAGTTTATTTATTTTTTGATAAATATGATGGGGATTGATGGTAATGTGTTGAAATTGACCCTTAAATATTATTTTGTGCATAGCTTTTTAGACTTAAAAATGACATGATTTTTTTAAATTTTCAGGCACACCGCCACTTTGACAGGGCATTGGGCCCAATTTCATAGCTCTAGTCCTTAGATATCGTTACAATTTTTGAAAATGTTAAATTTTTAATAAATAAATAATAAATTGTTAATTATCTTCATATCTGATTACACATAGACATAAATAGTAAAAAAAAATTTATTTTCAAATTTTAATCTCCCTTATTAATTAAACATGACTTTTAAGTTGAAAGGTTTTTTAAAAAGTTATCGAATGTTAACCCAAGCTACCAATAACATATTTAAGGTAGGATTGCCAAAACTATTTTTTTTAAATGTTATTCACCCAAAATAACACATAAAAATTGACAGAATACAAGAATCGATCCATTTTTCTGTTATTACCTAATTTAATAGGAAATATATTTAAATATTTTCTCTTTTAATTATGTGTATCTTTTATAAGATAGATTTTCAAAAAAATACTTTAAAAATTTTTGCTGTTTAGACTTTTTTAAATTAAATGGCTTCTAAAGAAACTTTATTGTATTTTGAGATATAATAACATAGGCTACAATTTCATAATTACATTTTTATATTTGAATAGATATCGATTTTATTTCATTAACCACCTAAATAATAAATATATCGATCTATAAACGATATGTTTGTATTTAATTTAATAGATATAATTTATGCATAATATCACCATAACCATTCTTTTAAAAAATTTTTTAAGAGTATTAATCATTGTGCAATTATAAAAATGATGTAACTAAAAACATGGATGGATGCGATTTAACAGAGAGAAATGTTTAAAAATTTATTTTCAAGAATTAAAAAAAAAATTTTTTGATGATAATTTATTACTGATATATTAATATATTTTGTAACTTTGCTAGATTTATAATAATGATATTTATTCCAAATATATATCCACATCAGATTTCGTAGTCTAAATTATTTTGAATATTTAGTCCTAAAATCTATTTTATGCAGAGTTGTTAAGGAGCGGCGCTACACTTTTCAAAATACCTAAAAATCAGGAGCGGGAGCTAGCTCCTTTTAAAGCTGGAGTGGAGGAGCACCGCTCCACCGCTTTTAATTTAATATATAAATTAAATTATTTTTTTAAATGAAATATTATTTTATTTAAATTTATGCAATATTAAATGTTGAGCCGAGTTTTATATTGGTTATTCATTTAATCAGTTAAAATATTACATCAAGTTTTTCTTTCTTTTTATTTGAAAATTTATTGGAAAATCTTTTAAGTCATTTTATAGATATATGATAAAAAATAATTTTTGATAATATGGATCCAGACATTAGAGTTCTGCATTGGGCGGGTTTTTGGACCATAAGCCCGCCTACCCAATGTTTTTAGAAAATTTAACCCGCCCGCCCATTAGTCTAAAATTTTTTATCCGCCCACCCATTATTTATAAAAAAAATTTTTTATTATAAAATATAATTATGGCCATTCTTTCAATTTTTTAATATCTAATAAAAAAAAAATTCAGCATTAAACCTCCACAAAAGGTTTTTAGGAAATTACTAGGGCTGTGCCGATATTAAATATAGGATCGGCACCGATATTTAGAGTTTTCCAAAAATATCGAATCGGGCCGATACCTGTAAAAAAACCATCCGATCTGATCTTTTTTTTATTTTTATTATTTTATGTTTTGTATATTTATTTTACATTATAATATTTTCTAAATATTTTTTTAAAACAATGTAAATGTACGTAACCCCCTAAATTTTTATTTTTTTAAATAGATTTATAGTATTTTAAAAGTTTTTTATAAAAATAGAAAGGAACACCCAAAGTTTTATTTTTTTTAAATATGATATCTGAATTATGGAAATATTTTACAAAAGACAAAGATAATTTTGCAAAATTCGTTATTTGCGGAATTCTAATTTCACGAGGAGGAATAATGAAAGATTCATTAATTCGATTTTTTGCATAAAAAATATTGATTTATTATTTACATTTGGTGCAAGGGAAGGGGGTGAAAAATCAATTAAATATCGGATCGGTTTTTGTTGGGTTTGGACCGATGGGTTCCCCGGTCTGAATGGGAATAATACAGTCCGTGATTGGGGGGTCCGGGATGGTCAATGACTGGATCCAGGGGGCCGGGTTTTATCGATTTAGTCAAGGAATCACTTGGACAACGTAATTTTCAAAGTTTATTCGAATAAGTGAAATTACAACAAAAAAGAAAAATTCAATTTAAAAAGCACGAAAAATAATTAATGGTGTTTTGTTTTCCACCTTTATAATTTTTAAAACAAAAGGAAAAAAGTTGTTATTTAATCGCGATATAATCATTCACGAAACTGGTAAGAACCAGTTTCAAATGCAATATAAAAATAAGTTATAATATATTAATGTCATAACAAAATTAGAAACAAAAAAAAAGAAATAAGGGGGGATAGAACATAACAGTTTTAAACCAATATCGGGAAATATCGGATCGGGGAAAATATGTGGATCGGCACAGCCCTAGAAATTACTATATTAAGCTTAAAAAAATATTCAATTTAAATTATGGATAATTTATTTGATCTTAAATAAAATATTCATGAAAATAAAATAAATATAAAATTGATACTATATGTAATTAATAATCCAAAAATAATAATGAATCGACATTTTCTGGATTTAAACACGTTCTTCTTTGTTCTAAAAACCTTCCAGCAATGCAAAATCCTCGTTCAGAAAAAGCACTAGTTGTAGGAATTGCCAATATATTTTTTGCTAATCTTGATAGCTTTGGCAAATCTCTTTCTTGTCGTTTCCACCAAAGTAGTTTTAAATATACAAAAAAGTTTATTTATTTTAAGAAAAAAGATTTTATGATACCATAAAAGGACATTTTAATTTTTAATATCCTAAAAACATAGGAACAATATTTTATTAATATTTACTTAAATGATTAAAAAATTTTGAACCCATCAGCGCATTGTTTAAATTTTTTAACCCGCCCACTTACTCGCTCATAATTTATATTTTTTAACCCGCCCGCCCACTTATATGGGCGGGCGAGCCGAAACCCCGCCCAATGCAGACCTCTACCAGACATCATAGAAGAAGAAATCGAATTTCCATTTCCATCATACAAAAAATATTTTTCTCTTCTAAATCAAAAATAAATGACAGCAGATACCAACCTCTTATAGAGTCTCTTATAAGCGGTATTAATAAAAGGTGTATAATAAAAAAAATAAATTATCTAATAACTTATTGCAGATTTTCAAATGTTTATAATAATGGAAATATCATTGCTGCTATTATCCATCCTGCATTCAAATTAAATTGAGAATGGATAAAAAATGCACAAAATATGGAATTAAAACACATTAGTTAATTTTTTAAGAAAACAAATTCTTGATTCATACCTACTAGTTCACAGGAATCCTGCAGAGATTTTTTTTGGATTCCATAAAATTGATTATCAGGAAGATAATATATTGGACAAATATTTTTTAAATTATAATTTTCCTAAATTAAAAAATATTTTTATAAAATACAATACCCCGCTTCCCTCTAGTGCTCCTGTTGAGCGACTGTTTATAAATGCTAAACAGGTTTTAGAGGAGAGGCGTGGATGGTTAGACTCAAATTTACTTTTTAAAGCTAATAAAAGATTAAAATTTGATATATCATTTAATATAAATAAAACTTTTTTGGTAAAAAAATATAATTTTATTTCGTGTACTTTTTAAAAAATGAAAATCATTCCATTACTTGGAGCGGGAGCTAGCTACCTTTAAAAAGGAGGGTTAACAACTTTGATTTTGAGTATATAATTATCATAAATATAAAAATATCTTTAAAGGATAGGTTTGTTAGAATAGATCAGAAGATGATAGTTTATTCCCAGTGGGACCAGTTTTTTTTCTGAAACCTATATTTTTAGACGTAAGAGTAAGGTTATAAAAATGTGAGAAATGTATGGGTTAATATAAATTTTAGCATAAATAAAATTTTAGGACTACATTTCTATAATATTTTTGAGTACGAAATTAGATATATATATCTTTCATTACCCTAGATTGCATCGATATCTCCTAATATAATGTATCTTCATTTTTATATATAGACATGTAAATTATCGTGTATATTTTTTTTTATCATTATACTATTGCGTTTCTATTCAAATGATACCAATTTGCTTTGGATACCATTTCACTTATGCAAAAACGACCACAATTTTTTTTAAAAATTAAAGAAATAATCTTTTTTATAAATTAAAGAAAAAAAATATAATACTAAATATTTGTTTATTTTTCGAAATTTTTTTTAGTCCGATATGTTTATTATTACCTTTTTTTTGAAACGGACTACTATCTTTAGCCTTACCAAGTAATGTTAATAATTTTATTTTTTGAATTTTAGCTGCTCTTATTTACCGTGCTTTTAGAGACATGCGTAAACCTAAATTAAAGTTGATACATGGAGCTATAAATGCCGGAGCTTTAATTTTTTCTGGAATTGGACTCAAAGCAGTTTTTGATAGCCATAATCTAAACAAACCACCCTTTCCCAATTTGTATTCACTACACTCTTGGCTAGGAATTATAACTACCATAATGTTTGGATTACAGGTAACCAACGATTTATATAACAATTAGTAAATAAATGCATTTTTTTTTCTTTAAAAAACAAGTTAACCTTATATAACCTAATCCTATATTATTATTTTACCAATAAATCTTCGTATTAATTATACTTTCTTGACACTGATTCAATATTAATATTCATAAACATATTTAAACATACCTTTCTTACGTAAAAACCATAGATTAATATTAAAAAATCAATAATTTTGTGATTATACAATATTTTGTTAATTTAATTTCTTTTAAATGTACTAAATTGTATTTGTCCTTGATAATTTAAGATAAACCAATTCATAAAGTAAAATTTCGAGTAGTAGCTTTTAATTTAATATGAAATTTTAAAGTATCTATTTTTTATAGCTAGCTAATGTCTATATAGATCTAGAAAAATAGTTATCGATGTCATAGATATAAATGAGAAACCTTTCTTTCAGTTCCGTATAATATTGATAATTATCATTTCTTAATATAAATTTCCTTCTCTGTATGAGGACATCAGCACATTATCAGCAATAATTCACCCAAAATTTAAGCTTAATCATCCTTATATCAATCTGGTATAAAATCTGCCGGTAAAAGAAAGCTTAATTACTCATTTGGAAAACCTGCAGGTTCAACCTTATGCAGATGCTTATTTAAATGACTATATGAAATTGAAACTTTCAAGGGGAAAAATTTATCGCAAGATGCATTTTTCCTTGATATTTTTTTATTCAAAACAAATATTTTTAAAACTTATGTAAATTTCAAGGGCTTCAGTTACAGGTAGTGTATTTGGGTGGGATCGAGTAGGTGCCATAATAATATTAAACTTTTATTAGGTAAAACAAATAATTAGTCCCTTTTATAGGGAAAATAAAAAAGTGCTTATAAATTAAAACAAAATTGGCCCAAAGTAATAAAAATGTTTTTGCGAAAAGGAGTTGTTAGTTTTATCTTACATAATTGGGCAGCGTCTACATGACAGGATTTTCACTGCATGCAAACCCCCTTCAAAAACCTTTGCCTACCCCCCTAAAAAATCCCCGCCGCCTTCGGCGGCGATGTCCTATTTATTTATTGATACTCTTTTTTAAATAATTTATAAAGGATAACTTAAATTAATCTATCTCTACTACCAACTATCGATATTTTGTGAATATAAATAATTTATTTTTTAGATAATAAATTTAATTAAAACCTCCATTATTTACAATGAATTAATTATTATGGCATTATGAGCTTGCTGAAATATCTAAACCTTTTAAATTATATTTAAAAGGATAGTTTATTTGGAAAACAATGTGTATGATTGTTTGCAACATATAGATTTGGTCGAAAGTATTAATTTTTAATAAATTTTGTCTTATTTCATCTCAAAATTTAATAGATAACCCCTCAAAAAAATTTATCTTACCCCCATTAGCAGCTTACCCCCTACCCCCTCAAAAAAATAGGATGCAAACTGTTCCTACCCCTCCCGCTCATGTAGACGCTGTAATTGGGGATAAACCCAACCCTCCTATACTTTTCGGAACTCAAGTTATACCTCCGGATTCAGTACGATCTCCGGGTCCTAAATTTCTAATTACTGAACACTTTACTAAGTAATCCAAAACTATGAAAAACCCTTAAAAGAAAACACAAAAACCATATGTTACTTTTAATGTAATTAAATCAAACAAAAGAGGGGCCTAAAAAAACTATATTTCATTTTAATATATTTAAGGCGAAACAAAAGAGGGATTAAAAAACTATTTTTAATTTATGTGCTTTTACGACTAAACAAAAGAGGACACCAAAAAAAACTAGTTTAAGATAAAATATGGAAAATATTTATCAGAGACCTGCAGAAGTACTATTTGTGGCCCCGCCCTGATTTTTTTTAAAAAATTTTCAGCCCCAGCCCGGATTTTTTCAAAATATATTTTTTTGATTTTTATAGCTGACTTCAAATATTTGGTTTTAAAATATACGGCCCGGATATTTTTTAAAAAAATTAAAATAGCCCGTGTACCCGGGCTTAGGGCCGGATCGCAGGTCTCTGATATTTATTGAATATAATACATTTTTCGTTTATTTAGTATAGCTAAACATATTCTTAATGAAAAGCTTCGATGTTTGAATGATAATAATTTAGAATTTTTTTTTATTAAAAGATTTTGTAAATAAGTATGTTATTCTATTACAATAAATTTACGCTATATTTAATTTATTTTTATATTATCTAATTTTGCATAGAGCATAAATTTTCTTCAGAAATTTATGATTAAAAAAAGTTTATTTTTTGAAAATATCGTGATTCGATTTAATAGGATCTATTAACAAGCCTGACTATCGTCCTTAGATAATATCAAATTGAACATTAGAACCAAACCAAATAATATTAACCCTTCAATACTCTGGTGGGGTATATGAAACCCGAGGCATGCTAGAAATGATATTACATAAAAACGGTTAAATATTATGATCTGGATTCTTCAGTAGCTTCATCAAATATATCTTAGAATCTATATTCCAAATTTAATATATTTCGGTTGAGTAGTTTTTAAGATATAAGCATTTTGTGACTGATTGGGGTTTGTGAGACCCCACTAGAATAAATTTGTAATTTTTTAAGAAATTTTTTTTTTAAATTATAAATATATACTATTATATTATAAAATTTATTAAAACAAAATTAAATATCTTTTATTTTGATTGAGATATATGAAAAAAAACATTTTTTTGTTTAAAACCCACTCAATTATTTAATTTAACGTTTTAAAATAAAATAATGTATCCATTCATATTTTTTCAATCATAGGCGTAGCCAGGATTTTCCTAAGGGGGGGGGGGATTAAAAAATTTCTGAAGGCAAAGCCCCCAGACTTTATTTAGGACGGGCCTTCGGTCCGCTTTTGACCGGCCTTCGGCCGGGTTACCTTGGTCTATATATAGTCATAACATATTTTTACAAGATAGGAGGTTTATTTTAATAAAAAAATCAGCCTGGAACAAATATGAAATATAATTTTATTAGTTTATATAAAATATAATAAATTACTTGTATATACATTAATATAAAAGCATAGTAATAATTTATTCCAAACAAGTATAAGAAATTTATTCATAAAAAGTAGACATATAGTTGATATTCCTCTATTATATAGAATTGGTTATAAAATACTAGGTAAAATTCCACTTTTACAGACATATTTGACAGTTAGACATTATATTACAGTTAATATTTTAACAAATTTTACTAATCAATGCTCTTGGTAATAAATATAGCAACAACGCCATCTATTTCTTTTAAATAAAAAATGATATTATTATTCATCCCACAATGTCTTTAAAAGATATTTTCTGATTTCCTTATCAATATTTTAGTTTTCTGTAAAATATATAATTCGCTATATTGGTATAAATTATTTGATTGTCATATAATTGATAAAATTAGATATACTGTAAATCTACGACATATAATATTCCACTGTTATGATTTAATTTTATCAATTGTTTTATAATTATATTTTACTTTTATTAAGATAATAATTATAAAACATTTCACTTTTGTCTTAAGACTTATCTGGCTTGTATTCCATTTCTTAAAAAACATTTTTGGTTTACTTTTTTATATATATAAATGCTTTTTTCCAAAAATTTATAAATTATGATGAATAGTTTTAGTTTAAAAAAATATCAACTTTTACATTCATTATTGTTTAAGATATATGCACACATTTTGGGGGGTCAGGGAGGGGGATATTTTTTATAAGCTTAAAATGATATTTACAAAAAGTGATAAATTTCTGAAGGGGGGGGGGAGGATTCCCCTTGGCTGTGCCTATTTTTTCAATAATAAAAAAAAATACGTTTGTTTTTATTTTATTATCACGTAACTTTCGACTATATTTCCGTTTCGATTTTTTCTAAATTACTTGATTTTACATATTATTTAAATATTTTAATAGAAAAATTCTGTAAACTGTTAATTTTATAAAGAAGACAAAATATTCAAGTATGTCTTTATGAATTTATATTTTTTTTAAATTTTAATAATTTTTGTAAATATAATTTTAAAATTATGATCCCAAATTAATTCATTGGGAATTTAATAAGTTATTTTATTAACATATTTATATAGTCAAATAAAATAATTATAATTGAAGGTGATATTTCGGAAACAGATATTGATGATAGTGAGGATAATTTTAATCATCCTATTGTCAATATGGATATAGATTCGCCCACAAATGCACTTCACACCAATTGCCTAAAAGATTGTAATGTGAAAAGCGATCTCGATCTCAAGAAAAAGGGGAGAGGTAGTTTCGGTTACAAATTTGTTCATGTTATCATCCTTCAATAGTATCGACCCAATAGAAGATGTGAAGCGATGGTTCTTGACGGGAAAAAATTTTATTCGATCCCTAGGCCTTATATTTAAAAAAATATAATGAAGGAATGGGAGAGATTTACACTATGCTAGTGGAATACTACAGAGTAGATATCAAAGGTAGAAGGTTTTATCTTCGAATAATATTTCAATTGATACTGTGAATGCATGGTTATTGTATCGAAGACATTTACTTCAAAATAAATGAATATAAAACTTATTTTTTTAATTCTCAAATAGTTACTGCAAGCTTCCAACACTCGAAAAAGGTGTAAACTATGTGTTAGAACATATTCAAAAGTGTGAAATTTGTTTATTTAACCAGGATATAAATTGTTTTAAAACATTTCATAATATAGAAATAAATATTTTTTTATACATGCATTGAGAGCTCAATGATGTCAAATTGTATCATGATTTTTTTTTACATGTAAGTTTTATTTTAAAAAGTCGAGGTATTTGAGGCTGTATACAAAATATCTAAGAATCGTGCATCTTGAAAAGGGGAAATTTATATAAAAATATGATAAATGAAGCATTGAAATTTTTAACAAATTTTTTTTTATTTAAAGTTATTGTTTGGGGCTGCTATGTTTCTAATACCTTCTTCTCCCATGAATCTCAGAAAATTATATTTGCCTTTTCACACCTATTTTGGAGCTGCAATGTATGTAATGGCTGTGGCTAGCTGTTTGATGGGCATAACAGAAATTGCCATATTTTCCATGTAATAATTTATATACAATCAAATTTTATGATAACCGATTTTATTTACATTTTAGGAAAACTCCAAGTTATTCGGATAAATCTGCAGAAGGAATTTTGATAAATTTTCTTGGAATTATTTTAATTATTCTAGGGACTCTAGTTCCTTTTTTACTTATAAAAGAAAATTATAGACGTATACCCAAACCTGAAGAAATAGCTATACAGTTAAGTAACTCTAATTCTATGGATGAATAATCAATATATTTAATCATTTTACTTTTAGTCATTGTTCTCTTGATAAAATTTTTTATATAAATAATAGATATTTAGATTAAAATAAATGGTCATTATTATATCTTTGTTATTGAAAATAAATTCATTAAATTAATTAATTTACGGCATAAAATTTTAAATATTATATAAGCTAGTCTTACAAATTATTTTATTATATTTATATAAATTAATTTAAATCATCATTTTTATGTTTATTAATACTATTTGTGCTAATTTTGGATTAAAACTATATTTTAGACACTTGAAATAATGCGATGTTTCCTCAGAATTCATAAAAGCATGATTGTACAAAACGCAAATTTATGTTAATTTTATTTCGCACATCTTATTTATATTCACTGTGATTTTTGTACCCATATAAATATGTATTTTGGCAGTATTATAAATTTATTGGTATTTATATAAATCATTGAGCATGTTTATGTAATTATTTTTTTTAAAAAAAGAATAAATATTATGTAAAAAAATATTTTGATGAGATTGGGGTCTCCTACAATTCAAAGTCGATGTATTTTGTTGAGTTCGTTGTCTGATATTAATAATTCATCTAAATTACTCCACCAATCAAACAAAAAATGTTTTGCAATCAATTTAAACCAGGGTGAAATAGGTGATTTGATAGATTTTTCGTTGTCTATTATTAATAATAAAATTGACTTATATTAAATTTGTAAATTAACTTATAATATTTCTCAAATCAGTTTGAGTAAAGTATTTAACACGTTTAACTTCTTCGGGGTTCGGATCTAACATAACATCTTTCTTGACAATGAAAACGTAATCAATTTCATTTTCACCCCAAATATTATCCGACAATGCTTTGTAATGGAAACGTGCCATAAATTTTAGATCATCGACAGAAATCTTTTATGATTTTTTAAATATAATAGAAAAATAGACAAAGGTATTAACCTAAATCAGAGACCTGCAGGCCCCGAATACACGGCTAGGTCATATTTTAATTTTTTAAATATACTGGATTGTGTAAAGTATATATTTTTAAAATATCCTGATCGGGCCAAAAAAATTTTTTAATCCAGGTCAGGCGCGAATGATACCTCTACAGATCTCTGATTTGCATAAAATTCATCAAAAAAATTTAAAATTTATTTTATTCCTTACAAAAGTAGGGGGGAAAAATTAAAGAAAGCATGGTAAAAATTTTAAACCAAAATTTTCACTTGGGTAAAATATTTTTCATTTGATTACTAAGATCGAAGGTCAAAAATTAATAGAATGATTAACAATTTTTATAATAATAAACTAATTTTGTATACATTATTTAATTGCATTTTAAATTTATAAAAAAATAGGCTAATTTCGGGTTAACAGGTGCGTGTTGAATAAAATCCATGAAGCACCGTAAATTAACTTATTCCTGCTTTCTTTAAGTTGGGATATATTTTCAAAAAAAATAAGGCTGAGGTGATAGTTTTAGCTAAAAATTGATTATTTAAATAAAATAAACCAAACATATCTCCATTAGGTGATCATTGCAAAAAATTGGTCCTCCATTAAGTTTTTATTTATATTTCATCTTAGTTTTGATTATTTATTTTAAGTGGGTCTGGATTTCTTGATTCGGTCCAGGTCCACAATAAAAAATTTTTATAGGAGCACATATTTAATTTTAAAAAATTCCTTGGCCCATCTTTCAAAAATTTTGCCTAAGCCAGGCCGATTATCTAAAAATTAAATTTATTATATTCAATGAAATTTCAGTGAATTTAAAAAATGATTTTGTTTGCAATACTGAAATTTACTATTAAAAAATTAGTTAGCAACTATTAAATAAGCTAAATTTAAATAATATTTTAGAGGTATATTAAATTTTTTCAAAAAAAGGCCTGCTAAAAAATATATGGGGTGATTTAACTGATGAAAGCCTAGTGTGGGTTCTATCGGTAGGAAGTCTACCATTAATCATATTTTATATCACTTCGATTTGTCCCTTTTTTCTGAGTAATACCTTTAGATTTTCTTAACCAAAGGGAAATGCTATTATATTACCCTGTGAAAAAACATAAAGTTTCCTGGGGGGCAAATTATATGTATTCGAGAATAAGAAATGGGAAAAGGGTCGTATATTGGAGAAGTTAAGAAATAAATTGAATTGTGTAGAATTTGTGGACGGAATTATGGGAATCCGGCAATATAATTATGTAAATAAAGAATTGAACTTAATTAATTAATCAAAATTTTTCTTACTCAGATATTGATCTTTCTTACTCGGATATTGATCTATTTGGTGGAGTTAATGAACAAATTTTTTCCATTATTTAACTACTGATCATTTTTGTTTTATTACTGATTTAAAGACTGTTTTTTTTTCTTACTTAGCTAGTGATCATTTTTGTTTTAGCACTGATTTAATGATCATATTTTTTCCGAAAAGAAAAGAATAAAATATTGTTGTAAAAAGAAACTATTTTATGAAAGTGATTAAAATGTTTTAGAAAAGAGATAATATCATAAGTGAAAATATTTGTAAAAAAAAAAATATTTGTAAAAAATGATTAAAATGTGTTTAAAAGGAGATAATACACTAATTGTTTTGATGGTGAGGATTAAAACAAAATTGTGTTTGTAATCAAATATATAAATCAGCTTAAGTTGGTTGTTTACTAATTAAGTTGATAGAGGAAAATGGTGTTTGTGTTAATCAAATATATGAATCAGCTTAAGTTAGTTGTTTACTAATTAAGTTGATAGAGGTATAGAAAAAAATATAAAAACCATAATTTTTTTTTGTGTTAAATTATATAATTTAATAAATTAACGTTAAGATTTAAAATTAATTATAAAGAAATATATATATATATATATTTTTTATATTAAATTCATACAAAACCGAGTTACCTCTCATGGACTGGTTCCTTTTACCTTCAAATAGTGATTATTTTAAGATACCCGAACAAGTGATCAAGTGTTTCGAATCTAGGAATAGGGTGACTAATATTGATAATAAAAACGGAATTTAAAAAGCTAAATCTACTATTGATTGGCAATGTTTTCGGTGCCAATCAAAAAACATTTGATAGCAGATTGTGAGGTGCCGTCCTATTTATTAAAGAAAAAAATTGTATTTACCTAAAATTCATAGTGATGAATTAGAGGTATCTATTAATATACCGAGTTGTTCTAAAGACTATGATTTAAAGAAAGAAAAACAATTAGATTTTGGAAAGACTGATTATCATAAATTGAATGAATTGGAATCGCGGAAAAAATGTTATGGAAATAGTGTGGCCGCCGATACGATATCAGGGAACAACAAAATTTTTAACGAAGGTTCTGAAAGCTGCCACAGTCTATACGATTAATCAAAATCAAGGAAGAATACGCATGGATATGATCCCAAGCTAAATGACGGTAGATGAACATGAAAGTTTGTAGTGCAACACAAATATTGAATATACTGACAGCGAAATGGAGGAAATTAAATTGCCAGAAACAGAATGAAGAGAAATCATATGTAATAACCTTTAATGTATATTTAAAATGAATAATAAATTAATATATATATGGAAATATATAGGTATATTAAAACATTAATTATTAGAAATGTCAATCATAGGAAAATAGATAAATAATATATCGGATTATTGATAAAAATTGGATTCATTAATGAATTATTATTTTTTTTGTATTAAATCATTAATTTTTTTCTTGTGAAAACATTAAATAAATAAACTTATGAATTAAAAAGTGTTGTGATTATTTTATTTTAATTGGCAGTTATTTTACTTTCATGTTCATCCTTTCAGGATCAGGTACCGTCATATAGCTTGGGGTCATATCCATGCGTATTCTTACTTGATTTGATTAATCGTATAGCTTGTGGCGGCTTTTAATTTATCAGTTCCCTGATATTGTATCGGTGGCCACACTCTATTTCCATAACATTTTTTCAGCGACTCCAATTCATTCAATTTATGATAATCAGTCTTTCCAGAATCTAGTTGTTTTTCTTTCTTTAAATCATAGTCTTTAGAACAACTCAGAATATTATTAGATACCTCTAATTCATCACTATGAATTTTCGGTAAACACATTTTTTTACTTTAATAAATAGGACGGCACCTCACAATCTGCTATTAAATGTTTTTTTGATTGGCATCGAAAACATTGCCGTTCAATAGTAGATTTAGCTTTTTGAATTCCGTTCTTATTATCAATATTAGTCATCCTATTCCTAGATTCGAAACACTTGATCACTTGTTTGGGTATCTTAGAATAATCACTATTTAAAGGTAAAAGGGACCACATTCCATGAGAGGTAACTCGGTTTTGTATGAATTCATTAATAAAATCTTTATGATTAATATTAATTTTATTAAAATCTTAGCGTTAATTTATTAAATTAAATAATTTAACACAAAAAAAATTATGATTTTTATATTTTTTTCTATACCTCTATCAACTTAAATAGTAATCAACTAACTTAAGCTGATTCATATATTTGATTAACACAAACACCATTCCGTAAACATTCTATCAAAACTATCGTAACAATTTCATTAAAATAATTTTATTTATTCTAAGACAATATATAATTATCAATTCAAAATCTTAAATAAATAAAAATGAATATCAAAACTCAAAAGATAATGTTGTTTATCAAATTTTTATTAAGTTTGATGATTAAATCTATAGTACATTTGTCCAACTTATTTCGTAATGTGGTTATTACTTAATCGTAATGTACTGAATAATCTTCCATCAATACTTGCGAGCAAGGAACAACTAGAACTACTCACTAGAGGGCATATAATACAGGTTCCTGAAATATTTTGGATAATTGTAAAAATATTTTGATGGGAAGGCAATTTTTGGCTATATATTAAGCAATTATTTTTTGTTGTAATGTCCATTAGTGAATTAGAATTAAACAACAAATAAATACATTTCGGCTCAAAATTTAAGTCGAGTCAATTATTGGGACAACTAGAACCAACTCCTGAGGTGACTAAAACCAACTCATCTATGGTTTGAGACTTAGTCAATTCAACTTTAGGGCAGATCCCAAAAGTTATTAATTAAGTAAACATATATTACCCTCATTATTTGATGATATATGAATTATATATATCTAAAAATTGATAAATTCGATATCAAATTATTTAATTAATATGGAATTGAATTACTTATCCTCTAGTTTTTAATTTTCAAATTATAAGAAGAGAACAATTTTTAAAAAAGAAATCTAATATTATCAAATATGATAATTTCTATGCTAATATTGAAATAATGATTGAGTAAAATATTCATATAATATAATAAGTTTGTTTGGAGTTAGTGCTCAGGTTGATGAGAAGAGAACAATTTTTTAAAAAAGGTATCTAATATTATTAAATGTGATAATTTATATGGTAATTTTGAAATATTTGTCCTCTATGCATAAAAATAAGATTGAGTAAAATATTCACAATAAAATAATAATAAATTTGTTAGGAGATGGTGCTTGGGTCTAGGATTTGGTCAACCACGTCAACCCATTTATTATCAATATTAGTCATCCTATTCCTAGATTCGAAACACTTGATCACTTGTTTGGGTATCTTAGAATAATCACTATTTAAAGGTAAAAGGGACCACATTCCATGAGAGGTAACTCGGTTTTGTATGAATTCATTAATAAAATCTTTATGATTAATATTAATTTTATTAAAATCTTAGCGTTAATTTATTAAATTAAATAATTTAACACAAAAAAAATTATGATTTTTATATTTTTTTCTATACCTCTATCAACTTAAATAGTAATCAACCAACTTAAGCTGATTCATATATTTGATTAACACAAACACCATTCCGTAAAAATTCTATCAAAACTATCGTAACAATTTCATTAAAATAATTTTATTTATTCTAAGACAATATATAATTATCAATTCAAAATCTTAAATAAATAAAAATGAATATCAAAACTCAAAAGATAATGTTGTTTATCAAATTTTTATTAAGTTTGATGATTAAATCTATAGTACATTTGTCCAACTTATTTCGTAATGTGGTTATTACTTAATCGTAATGTACTGAATAATCTTCCATCGATACTTGCGAGCAAGGAACAACTAGAACTACTCACTAGAGGGCATATAATACAGGTTCCTGAAATATTTTGGATAATTGTAAAAATATTTTGATGGGAAGGCAATTTTTGGCTATGTATTAAGCAATTATTTTTTGTTGTAATGTCCATTAGTGAATTAGAATTAAACAACAAATAAATACATTTCGGCTCAAAATTTAAGTCGAGTCAATTATTGGGACAACTAGAACCAACTCCTGAGGTGACTAAAACCAACTCATCTATGGTTTGAGACTTAGTCAATTCAACTTTAGGGCATATCCCAAAAGTTATTAATTAAGTAAACATATATTACCCTCATTATTTGATGATATATGAATTATATATATCTAAAAATTGATAAATTCGATATCAAATTATTTAATTAATATGGAATTGAATTACTTATCCTCTAGTTTTTAATTTTCAAATTATAAGAAGAGAACAATTTTTAAAAAAGAAATCTAATATTATCAAATATGATAATTTCTATGCTAATATTGAAATAATGATTGAGTAAAATATTCATATAATATAATATAATAAGTTTGTTTGGAGTTAGTGCTCAGGTTGATGAGAAGAGAACAATTTTTTAAAAAAGGTATCTAATATTATTAAATGTGATAATTTATATGGTAATTTTGAAATATTTGTCCTCTATGCATAAAAATAAGATTGAGTAAAATATTCACAATAAAATAATAATAAATTTGTTAGGAGATGGTGCTTGGGTCTAGGATTTGGTCAACCACGTCAACCCATTTGGTTGAATTGGTTCTGGTTCAAATTTTCAACCAAAAACCAGGGTTGTGATCCTGTAAAACCAACTAATTGATCATACACTGTTCACCCATGTTCTCTTTAAAAATTCATCCACCCATCCATTTATCTAAAAATTTTGTTTAACCTGCCCAGTTTAAATATAGTTTTAATGTTTGGTTTGGTTATTTATTTATACTTATGTAATATGCAATATTATGAAATAAAAGGTGATTTTTAATAAATAGAAGTCTGTACTTCCTATTTTGATCTAAAAAATTTTAATATTTTATGAATATTTTTTAACTCAACTGTTCACTCTTTCAGTCTTTTTAAAATATGGGTGGGATAAAAAGCCCATTGCAGACATCTAGTGGTAAATGGCGAATTGAATTGTGAATTGAACTAAACACTTTTTCAGTTTGATATTTAATTTAAATAGAAAATATTAATTAAATGATTATAAAATAATAATATTGTTAGCTTTTTTTAATAAAGCATTTTAGGAGTTTTAATCACTGGAAATTTTAATCATACTAAAAAATATTTCAACTGGAATGCAAGAAGATAAGGTAGTGTATGAATAACATCTTTAAATATAGTAAATTCATGACACTCATTTCTAATCACTCAGTTTGATGAATATTAAAATTTATATCCTTATTCTGAGGGTGTTGAAAAAAATACATGAATAAATTATTTTCTTTGGTTAGTATCATTCTAAAACTTTGAATGTATTAACTAAATGCAGTTTTAATTTTTTTAATAAAAATTTTATGGCATTTGAAGCCAAGTCCAAAAGAAATAATTTTTTGATGCTTTATTGGTTGCTTCTTCTTCATCAGTTTGATGATTCAATTTCTGTGCAAAATAAAATTGGACTCTTGGACAGATATTTAATATAAAAAACAGGATTAAATAGTATAAAATTTGATATATTCCAAAATGGGGGGAAAAATTGTATCAAAATTTCTCTATAAAAAAATTCAAAAATAATATTTAAATAAGATACAACATGTTTGAATCTAGATGCTTAAACTCTGTTAGAGATTAACAATCAAAACAAATATAAAAAGAATTATATTATTCTCTTTGAAAGATATTGAATAAAATTGTAATAAACAACTGACAACTATATCATTAAAAATAAAGATTTTATGAAGAGGATATTTAAGAAAATTTGGGCATGACTAAAATACACACCCCCAAAAACTAAGCCCCCTATCAAAGAAGCTTAATTTAATTTATATTAATACAGAATCGTATTTAGCTTTATAAGATGAGTTAGAAAATGTTTTTTTTTATTTAAAAATATGGCAACATAGTAAAATTTTTAAAAAAATTTAGTCAAAAAAGAAATAATTAAGTGTTTTTTCAAAATCTCAATAAGTTATATATAATTTTTTAACTTAGTATAAACATTTTTTGATTCCTTTTAATAAGTTATATATGATTCTACTTTCATTTTTTATATATTAAGCTTTTGATAGGGCACCTAGTTTAGTCACGTAAAAAAATAATTTTTTAAAAATTTTACTATGTTGCCATTTTTTTTAAATAAAAAAAAACATTTTCTAACTCATCTTATGAAGCTAAATAGATTCTATAATAATATAATTTAAATTAAGCTTCTTTGGTAGGGGGCAGATAGTTTTCGAGGGCACATATTTTAGTCCCGAAAATTTTATATAAATTATAAGTTACTTTTGATTTTTAAGTCTATAAATAAATCAAGTTATTATGTTGTATTATTACTTAAAAAAAACCTATAAATAATATTAATTTAAAGAATTAACCTGTCCAATTTTAACACCAAGTTCATGTTTTAATTTTCGTATCGCAGCATTCTTAATCCCTGTTAAAATATCTTCTGTCATTTCATTATTATTATACAAAGGGTGACTACAACAAGTGTTTGTTAAATATCCTTTATAAATATTTGATTACATATAAATATTAAATAAATATACCAGGGAATGTTATTTTATCATAAGATCTTTCTTGCATAAGTAGTTGATTCAAATTATTAAAAAGAAATACACTAAATGCTCTATGTATCATACCTTTAAAATTATAAAAATATTAAATTTATAATATTGAATACCTTTATTAATGTTAGAAATTAAATGACAATTTTCTTTTGAATCTGACCCGAGAATTTCATCGTTTTCATTTACTATTATACATTTTTCTTTTAAATATGATCTTTGAATTGCGTCAATATTCATATTAGGTTGTTTTGTGTGATATAATTTAAAAATTAGAGAAACATCTTCTAAGCCTGTATCTTTATATAAACAATATAACTTTTTACTTAAAAATTTAAATGATCGCCTTTTCATAGAATATGTGAAAATATTGATAACCGGTTATGTTATCTGATGCTAATATAATATTCTTTTGACACGAGTCAATTAATAACTGTAATAAATTGTATTTGCCGTAATTTTTAAAGTGATCAAAACTATCCCGGATCATTTTTAAAGAGATAACTTAGGGTTTTAATTTAAGGATTGATAATACGGTATTATCATGTTTTAATCGTGACAAAAAAAATTTTTATTTTTGATATGGCTATCTAATAAAAGGTAATTTAAATATTTTTTATTGTAATAAAAATAATCAGTCATAACGGGCGGGTCTAGATCTTAGGGAAGGGTCAGGAATATTTTCATCAGTACAAAATATCCATATTATTATTAAATAAAACAATTTAAATATCTCTCGACTGTAATAATTATACTCTAAATAGGTGCGAGATCTTAAGCGGTCAGGAATATTTTCGTAAACACAAAATATTGATATAGGAATCAAATATAAGGTATTCTAAATATCTTTTGGCTGAAAGAATTTATTATCTTAAAGGGTTGGACTTGATCTGGGAATTGGGGGGGGGGGGGGGGGGGGTAAAAATTTAAATTGATATGGGCATCAAATAAAAAGTAAATAAAAAACTTTGATTATTTTATTATATTTTAAGTAGGTGTGTTAAGATGTCATGAATATTATTATTAACACAAAACATCAATATGGGTTTCAAATAAAATTAAATACAACATATTTAGACTTCAATATTAAATATCGCTATAAGCAGGGGTCATATATAGTCAATGCTCTTTAAAAACTCATTGTAACTTAATGATAAAATTATTTTCTCGCAGCTTAATCTAATATGTAATATTTTAAATAAAAAGTATCAAAATATATTACAAAAATATTTAAACAAAAGCAAGGTTACAAGCTAAAATAATCAGTAGCCTATCCAGGATTTTCTTATGGGGGGGAAGGGGGGGGGGGAATTTTTTTTGTGTTAGGTATGTTATATTTAATAAAGTTTTTTTAAATCTAAAGTTGAAATAAAATTTTATGTCATTTTATTTTAAAATTTGATTTAAAGACTAGCAGCTTAAATTCTCATACAATATAAGTAGAATAAATTTTTTTTTATTGTGCACAGTGTATAAAATATTGACTAGAAAATAATTTAAAAAGCAAGTTTTTATAACTTCTATCAAATAAAATATTATCAAAAAGTATATTAAACACTATAACTATAATTTAATTTTCGTGTGGATGTTGCCAATAAGTGAAGGTCGACGGTCCGGTCCTATCGGTCTTAGACCGGGATCAGACCGGACCGATTGTCAGACCGATCTTTTTTTGAGAACCGTGGTCCGGAACGGTCTTTTTATTTTTAACGTTTATTATTGTTCAAGTTTTCTTTACTTTTTGTATATTATATTTTATGTTATTTTTCTAGAGGAGTTATTTTAGATTTTGTTAATTTTTATATTACAATATGAAAACCATAAGTTTGTCCAAGAAACATTTTACTTATAGTCCCAATAAAAAACATAGAGTATGTGTTCACTGCAGTACCAAATTTAATGTATCGTCAGCAACTAGTAACAAAAAAATTGTTTATAATTTTTTAAGCAATAAATTAATCAAAATAAGGAGTAATATTATTATAATATTTTGGTTAAGTTCTATTTTTTCTTAAGAAACTGTCTGTATAATTTATTGTAAAAATTACTTAACCTTATTCTTAATAAAATAATTAGGTACCTTAAGCAGACATCTGATAAAACATAAAATATAGACTTCTAATGATGAAAATGAAAATATCACAAAAAACACAATCTACTCTTAATTTTAATATGCCCTCCACTAGCACAAAATCATTTTCTTCAATTCTATTGGATAAATTTTATTGTTTATATAATACTCTTATATTTAATAAAATGATAAAACAAATCAAATTAGGTTAAAAAAAAAGTTTTTTAAACAAATAAAAAGATCGGTCCAGGACCGGTTTTTTTATTTAGGACTACGGTCTGGATCGATCTTTTTCTTAAGGACCGTGGTCCGGTCCGGTCTGATGATATCGGTACGGATCAAAGATCAGACCGTGACCTTCACTATTGCCAATTCATCTAAAATTTTGTTCGTCGTTGGAACTAAATCTCTATGAATATTTAACATAGCTAATCCATTTAACCGATATTCTGAAATAGTACTTCGTAAAAATGTCTTCAGCCTTCTCAAGTTTGAAAATGTCCTTTCATTCGTGCATGTTGTAATAGGCAAACATGCAAGAATATAAAATAACTTCAAAATATCGGAAAATTTAGGCAACATGCTCAGATATATTTAAATTTTGAATATCTTATGTTCTAAAGAAAAATGAAAAATATAAAATTAGAAATTTATTAATAATTAAAATATTATTAAAAATTAATTCTAACTCACTAACTAATAATTTTGAATTTCATATAATGAATATATTTAATAATAAATTATATACCGTTTGATTTCAATATCTTTGTCTTTGACTAAAAATTTCTCCATTTTTTATTAATATTTTTGAATAATGTTAATTTACTCACAAGGAAAGGAAATTTTAAAAATTTATTTATAAAAAATAAGTTTTATGTTGAAAAATTGATATTCAAATATTTGTAAAATTTTGATTGGGGGGGGGTGGGTGGGGGGGGGGAAGTAAAATTTTTATTAGCTTAAAATGATATTTATGAAAACAGTCAAATTTGCGATGGGGGGATTTTCCCCTCCCCCCTTCCATTGGTTACGCGCCTGAAAATAATCGTAAGTTTTTATCAGCATATTAAAGGAGGTTATATTCAAATAATACCAATTAAAATTATATAAAATATAATACAAATTTGAATATAAAAATTTAATTCCATTATATAACATACTCCCTTTTCTGAGATGTGAGAAATTGTTGTTCAAATGGTCTGTAATTTTGGGTATTTTCGTAGTAGTACCCATCATGCGTTATCGTTGGCTTGATTCTATCACGTTGGTTTGTTAACATCGTTAGCTTGTATCCTTATCGTAAGTTGCCTTCTTCAATCATAATTTTGTCATATAAGCTTGGTGGATTTAGAATATTTTGTAAATCATCATTGGTTTCACTATATAGAATTCATAGCTATTGTCTAACTTCCATATTGGTTCTTGGTCATCATATAGTTACATATTGGTTATTGGTCATCACATAGTTACTTATTGGTTATTGGTCACATTCATAATATAATTACATATTGGTTAATGGTCATCACATAGTTACATATTGGTTATTGGTCATCACATAGTTACATATTGGTTATTGGTCATCACATAGTTACATATTGGTTATTGGTCATCACATTGTTACACATTGGTTATTGGTCATCACATAGTTAAATATTGGTTATTGGTCATCAAATTAAGTTATATATTGATTAATGATCATCACACTGAGTTACATAATTAAATTTTATTTAATAAATGTAGTAGAATTATTTTTAAAATCATATCAACATTATCTGTCTTGACCATATGTTTTATTAATTTATCTCTAATTTAAATTTAAGAATTTTATTTCCCCCAGGTAAAGAAGACCTGAAGAAATTTTTTTCTCCAAACATGGTTTTCCTCACCCGGGGCACTATGTTAATATGGTGCAAAAAGTTAATAAAAGAAAATAAAAAATTGCGTTTATTGAGTTTATTATATTTTTACATTAATCTAAAAAACAAATAATCTATTATCAAAAAATAAGGTATATTTTTTCATATCAAATAAAAATTTGATTAAACAAAAATAAAAAGTATCAAAATATATTACAAAATATTTTGAACAAAAGCAAGGTTACAAGCTAAAATCGTAAGTTTTTATCAACATATTAAATAAGGTTATATTCAAATAATACCAGTTAAAGTTATATAAAATATCAATATAAATTTTAATATAAAAAACCAATTCCATTATTTAACAATTATAAATCATTCTTATTACAGTTATAAATTATTATACTTCTTTACAAGCATATTATAGGCGTAGCAAGGTGGGGTCAAGGGGAAATCCCCCCTTCAGAAATTTATCACTTTTTGATATCATTTTAAGCTAATAAAAAATATCCCCCTTAATCCTCCCCCCACTCCCTGACCCCAAAAAATGTGTGCATATATTTTAAACAATAGTTTGAAAGAAAAAATGTAAAAGTTGATATGTTTTTAAACTAAAACTATTCATCATAATTTATACATTTTTGGGAAAAAAATTTATATATAAAAAAAGTGAACCAAAAGTGTTTTTAAAGAAATGGAATATAAGCCAAAGATAAGTCTTAAGACAAAAATGAAATATATTATAATTATAATAATAGATCCATAAAATTACTAAATAATATAATATATCAAATATAATTTTTTATAAAGTGAGTAATTTTTATTTATTTATCTTAATAAAAGTAAAATATAATTACAAAACTATTGATAAAATTAAATCATAAATTAAATAAAAAAATTAAAGCACAATACAAACCGTGGAATATTATATGTGGTAGATTTAAAGTATATCTAATTTTATCAATTATCATATGACAATCAAATAATTTTTACCAATATAGCGAATCATATATTTTACAGAAAACTATAAAATATTGATAAGGACATCAGAAAATATCTTATAAAGACATTGTGCGATGAATAATATGAAGATTAATTTTTAATATCATTTTTTATTTAAAATAAATAGATGGCGTTAAATAATTGTATGCAAATTGTTGATATATTTATTATCAAGAGCATTGATTAGTAAAATTTGTTAAAATATTAACTGTAATATATTCTCTAACTGTCAAATATATCTGTAAAAATGGAATTTTACCTAGTATTTTGTAACCAATTCTATATAATAGAGGAATATCAACAAATTTCTTATATTTGTTTGGAATAAATTATTATCATGCTTTTATATTAATGTATATGTTAGCGGCAATGTGAAATATTCGGCAATGTGAGGTAGTGGTAAGCAGGGTAATTTTGTTATTTCGGCAATGTGCACATTGCCGGTGTAACGTGATATTTTAACTTAAATTTAAATTAACTCCCTTTAGTAATACTGACATTTAAGATTGACGTTATAATATATTTTAATAAAATATCATTTTTAACTTAAATTTAAATTAACTCCCTTTAGTGATACTGACATTTAAGATTGACGTTATAATATATTTTAATAAAGTATCATTATAAAATTTAGTAATACTGACATTTATGACTGACGTATAATGTTAAAAGTTTCTATTATTTAGTAATACTGACATTTATGACTGACATGTAATGTTAAAAGTTTCTATTATTTAGTAATACTGGCATGTAATGTTAAAAATTTCTATTATATAGTAATACTGGCATTTATGACTGGCATATAATGTTAAAAGTTTCTATTATTTAGTAATACTGACATTTATGACTGACGTATAATGTTAAAAGTTTCTATTATTTAGTAATACTGACATTTATAACTGACATGTAATGTTAAAAGTTTCTATTATTTAGTAATACTGGCATTTATGACTGGCATGTAATGTTAAAAGTTTCTATCATATAGTAATACTGGCATTTATGACTGGCATGTATAGTTAAAAGTTTCTATTATTTAGTAATACTGACATTTATGACTGACAGTTACTGCTTAAAATTTATATATAGCAATATTGACACTTATGACCGACAGATGATGCTTAAAGTTTGTAATTTTTCCAATATTGACACTTATGAGTGAGATAATTAAAATTTATAAGATAGATTATAATTTCTAATATTTAGTAATATTAACATCTAACTTTCAACCTTTTTAAATTTCTTATGCCTATAAATAATTTAACGCCGAAAACGTTATAGCTTAATTTAAAAAAGGTTTGATCAAAATTTATATACACATGGTAGGTTAAATTTATTCATATTTAAACATAAATTACATATCACTCATCTAATGATTCACTATTGTGACTTTATATAAAAATAACTAATTATAAAATGCTATATAGTATAAATTCGCAATTGAATAGAATTGAACTCATAAAAAAGATGCCAACCTATTGTACCTTTTATAAAATTAACTATTAATAAAAAATATAAAGTGCAATAATATTTAATAAAAAAATGCTTATCGATTATACTTTCAACTAAATTGCGATAAATATAATGAAATAAAAGTATAAGAATAAATATTAATTACATTGATAAAAAGGATGCCAACCTATTGTACCTTTTATTAAAATAACTATTAATAAAAAATATAAAGTGCAATAACATTTAATAAAAAAATGCTTACCGATTATACTTACAACTAAATTGCAATAAATATAATGGAATAAAAATATTAGAATAAATATTAATTACATTGATATAATTCTAACAAAATGATTGTTATTTTCATTACATAAATATATATTTTCTTTAAAAATTTTAATATTATTAAAAAATTTCATGGGTGAATAATAAGCCCACTTATATTGGGTATAAATTAATATATTTGTCTGCAACAATGTGGCCATAGATAATATTTCCACTTCTGTTGCCCAGACACCATTTCCTAATTTCTGTCAATTAGGTATTCTTCTACAAGATATCCTATGAATTTTTCCATTTCCAATTTGAAATCGTTGCTCCTCATAAAGGCAACGCATTTCTCCCTCAGGTAATTATAATTATCCTGACTATTTGATATTTCTTGACTTATACACCTATAAACATGTTAAATAATTAAATATTATATAAAGTAACTAACCTAAAAAACAGTTTCCATCACCCACAATCGGTTGTGAATATTTCCTTTAATATACCACTTTCGATCTTGGGATAACGGCCAATTACTTTGAAATTGAACCGTTTAGAGTGGTATACTTTCCAATTCCTAGTTGTGGGCAAAAAAACCTCACCAATTTTCTTTGGTATTATTGTATCAACAATAATTTCGTCATCTAAATTAGATAATTAAATAATAACATATTTTTAAAATATATTACCTTTACCTTGATCTTGTATGCCTACATATCCTCCCTTTCTTACTATACTTTTATAAGCTTTTGTTGGATCTTCACCAAATGTATCTGCATATAAAAAAATAATTTTATATATTATACCCTTTCTCTTGACATGGTTTATGTTGGTGTCCTCCTTTCCAATTTCCAACCCTAGGATTTTAGCTTTATCAAAAATTTTCAATTTTTTAAAAATAAAACTTTCTTCTGCAACATTTATTTCACAGGACATCTCTTCAAATAGTGTTTCTTCTAATGGAAATATAATAATAAAAAATATATTTTCCTTTTTTCCAAATGCATTTGATTACCTTCTCCTTCTCCAACTATAGATTTAAGAAGCCTACAAACTTAATTATTTGTTTAATATTATTTTTATGAATTAACTGTATATATTACCTTGATCTTGAACACCTACTATAGTTTCACAATGTACCATATTATTAGGTTTTTTAACTGTTTCTTTACCATTAAAAAAGTTATATTTGTATGTTTAAAAAATACCTTTGTTCCCCTCGATATAGTGTTTTAAATTACTGAGGTTAGTCTTTATACGTAAAATTTTTCCCGTTAAGGAAGATAATTCAACATTGCCTAAATATGTATAAATATTTTGTTAAAAATTAGGATTTTACTATTAACAATTTTAACAATTGTATATGGGCCTACCCAAGGCTGCAACATTTTCCCTCCTTTCCTGTCAGCTCGACGATTATTCCACACAAGCACTTTATCATTTATGTGATAAAGTGCATTCTTAGCAGCATTACGAGTTTTATAATCTCGTTGCTGCTTAAGCTGAGCCTTTGCAATATTTTTTATTGCAGTATTGAATATGACTTCCATATTCTCAGCTGTACTCTTGTAATTGCTTTCATAATCAGTGTCAGATAGATCATCAAGATCTGTATCTGGTTCTCTATCATCCTTAAATAATAAAATATTTATTATGTAAATTTATTTTATACAAATAGTGATATATATCATACCTCACAGGGCAGTAGAGCTTTTCTGCCATACATCATCTCATATGGCGTGAATTTTGAGGATTCATGCGTTGATGTATTGTAGGCAAATACAATACCAGGGAAAACTCCAGGCCAATCCTTCTGATTGCCTTTTGTACACTTCAAAAGTGAATTTTGAAGAGTACGATTAGCTCTCTCTACCATGCCATTAGCCTGAGGATGGTAGGCGCTTGTCACTCTCTGATGGGTTCCCACGAGTTTGTGATATTCATTACTCACTTGATTTACAAACTCGCGTCCCTGATCATTGATTTGGACCTATAAATATGATAAATATCATTATATTATAAAAATTTCATCAACCTTGACTCTGCCATGCCTGCATAACAGTATATAAAAAGAGGGTCACTGAATGGGCATTCTTATCCTTTAAAGGTTGTGCTTCGATATATTTGGAAAAATAATCAACAGCAACTGCTATATATTTAAATCGCTCTATTTTGGATAAAGTATTCTGTATTATGTTTGGAAGTCATCAAGGAAGCATGCAATGGACTCATAAAGGTGCAGATAGCTGGAATAATTTAGTCAGGGATATGGAGAGACATGAAACATCCCCTGTTCATGCAGATTGTGAATCTGCACATATGGCATGGATTTCTCGGGGGCGTATTGATGACCACATTTTATTCAACCGAGAGGAAATTATAACCCAAAATCGTTATATTATTTAATAATATAATTGATGCTATTATGTATTTAATACGGGGCAATATTGCTTTTTGGGGAAGCAATTCTCATGATGGTAATTTTTCAAGACTTATAACTTTGATCTCAAAGAATGTTCCAGTATTAAGAGCATATCTAGAGAAAAATATTAGTTCACGAGGAAAAAGTGGTAATAAAATATTAAGGCAATAAACTTCATTTCCTATGGCCATGTTAAAAAATTGGCTGAGATAATAAAAATATTGAATGAAATAATTAAACAAATTGTGCCTTTAGCTTAATATTAGATGGTACATATGATATTTCAAAAAAGGAATGTGTTGCCTTAATTATAAGGTATATACAAGAATATCCACACCCACACCCAGTAGAAAGAATCATTAATATTTTACAACTTCTGACACAACAGGATAAAATATTAAAAATAATGTTCTAACTAAATTAAAGGCATTACATATTCCACTAGAATACATGATTGGGCAAAGTATGGATGGTGCTAGTAATATGAGAGGTGTTAATAAGGGAGTACAGGCTTTAATATTTAAAGAAGCTCCTAAAGCTACTTATGTCTGCATGCTCATAGGCTTAATTTAATTGTTATTCGTATATGTGGATATGGGAATGAAATTAAAAAAACTATGGGAATTTTAGATGAATTATATAATTTTATGAATGGAGTTAAACGCCAGGGTGTTTTTACCAAATTTCAAATGCAAAAAACCAAAAAACTCTCAAAAGAATAAAAAACAAAACAAGGTAAATAAATATAATTTTTTTAAGAATTTTATTTATTTTCAGAAATTGGGCATCATCTTTCAAAGCATTATAAATTTTTTTAGATGTTTATGAATATATAATAGCCTCCTTGACAGAGTTAAGCAATTCTGATGACGCAATCACATTTTCAATTTCTGAGGGATTGCTATCTAGAATAAAACGATATGATTTTATTTTAGGATAAGAATAATCTTAAAATGTACACATGAAACTTGCATTGAAATGCAGGCAATTGGAAATAATTTAGCAATGATGATTAAATTGATCCAACATACAAAAAATAAATTCCAAAGATTAAGGGGTAAATTATGATTCATGTATTTTAATTACATTTTCTAATTAAGCAAATGGTGATAATATATTAGCATCATTACATACCGATGTTAAATCATTTATGGATAAGAATAATGTTACAACCGATATTTATAATATTAAGTCAATATTTAAATTGGATCAAAAAGAGTTTGATAATTATATTGAACAACAAAAAGAAAAGTTTATGAAAAGTATATTTTAAAATAATATATATTTTTTTAGATATAAAAATGAAAAATTTTACCCAGTGATTAATATGATCATTGAACAATTAAATGAAAGATTTAATTATGAATCATTAAACTTTTTAAATCAGCTATTTTTACTCCTGCGGGATTAGCAGATAATGAGAATATAGAAATTTCCCAGATATCTGAAATTGTGTTTATATAATTTTGATGCACAGAAAATTATAGATGAATTTTCCAATTTTAGACCATCATACTTAGATTCCTTATCAATCATTTATAGTAAAGATTTAATCAATATTAGAAAAAATGATACCTTATATGATGAAAGTTATTAATTTTATTAACAACTTAATTTTAATATATGTTTACAGGTGAAAACATTATAAATGATAGTAAAATGACCGAAACAAAAAGATGGCTGAAATATTCATTTATTCTACCATATAGATTATTAATTAAATCAAGTTCTTTTCCTTATCTTAAAACGTTATATAAATATCTTATAACCCTCCCCACCACCTCATGCTCTGCTGAAAGAGCTATGAGTAAAGTCAAAATTGTTAAAACACGTATTCGAAATAAAATCTCTGATTCTTTTTTAGAAAATTTATTATTAATATCAAGTGAAATTGATATATATGATACATTTAAAACAGAAGATATTATTACAGATTTTGCGTTAACTTCTAAAAGACTATCTAATCTTTTAATTGGATAATCCTTTTTTTTCCATATTAAACAGCAATAAATTTAGACATTTGGCATTATAATTCCCTTTTTTCAATATTTGAATAAATTTGGATTACTAATCCCTTATTAGTTAGTCATTTTTAATTAGTCTTTTTCTGCACATATATTTATATTCCTTATGTTATATCTTTAACATTAAAAAAAATTATTATGTAGCAATTATAATATCCATTTTTTTTAAATATTAAATAGCAATATAGACATTTTGCATTATAATTCTCTTTTTTATTTGAATAAATTTGGATTACTAGTATTAGTTAGTTATTTATAATTAGTCTTTTTCTGCACACATATTTATATTCCTTATGTTATATATATTTTTAACATTAAAAAAATTATAAATAAAATAAAATTATTATGTGGAGATTAAAATATATAATTTTTTAAATTTCGATAATTTTTATACCAAATATTTTTCCTGTAATCTATATATCATTATTTCATAAAATATTCAGACTTATATTTATAAGATTATAATTTATTCTATCGTAATAATGTCACCGAAGGTGGCAAATTTTTTTAGGGGGGTAGGCTGAGGTTTTTGAGGGGGGTTTGCATCCAGTGAAAATCCTGTCATGTAGACGCTGCTATCAGTTAAAAGAAAGAGTATATTGGTACTATGATTTTAAAGTCATAAATTCATTTTGAGAAGTGGTGCAAGCTTTTTGGGCCATATCAGGTTAATGGCCTATATTTAAAAATATTCTATAAATTGAAACAGATTTTTATTTTGAGTACATCCCTGCTTATAAATTGCAAAATTAAAAAAAGATGAGGCAATTACAAATTCATTTTGTAACATAAGTATCAAGCATATAAAAAAATATTTAAATAAAAAATATGAGCAATTACAAATTCATTTTGTTATAATCATCTATATCTTAAGGTAGTTTAACCCTTATTCTGATATTTATTTCTATGTTTTTCACAAAATACAATACTTTAACCCGTTTATAAAATTATGTTAAATAGTGTAAATATACCTTTCAACTAATTTATCATATGTCTTGTTGATTCCAAAATGACCTGATAATGACATTTCTGTGATATTTGTGTCACATCCTCCATGGAATGAAACTAAAATATTATGTTGTTGACTAATGAGTGAGATTACCTCAGCATTATGTAGGTGATGGTAGAGTTTGCCATTCTTTAAGGAAAACTTGGCACATTTAACTCTAAGGTTTCTTTTCAACCCATGATCTCCGATATAGGAGGTTGGGTAAGTTTTGGATTTAAGGTAATTATAAACATTGACAATATTGATATTCACTATTTTATATATTTATAATATAATAATGATAATGATAATATTTACTTGATATTTTGAAAATTTGAAATTTTACCCACCAGGAGTTGAAGCGTGCATCATGTATTTTCACTAGTATATAGATCCCATACATGATGTCTACCCCTTTTATTATAGTGGACGGTACCACTATGTAGCCTGTTAGCAAAGTGAAGAAGGAAGAAGTACAATAATGGTGATGTATTAGTTCCGTTTCCGGCAGAATAGTGTTAAGGAAAAAATAAAAATAATGTCATATAAAAAAATGTACCTGCGTCCTTAAGTGGTATTTAGTGAGGCAACAAAAAAATAACCCTTATATCTTGTTAAGTATTGAGAGTTTATGTTAAGTTTGCATTAAGAGTCTCTTCCTTGTTTGTTGTTCGGTGTGCCAAAATATTGTATGTCCTGTAGATCTTATATGTTCTGTGCCAATGGTATTTGGGTTCGTCCGATATATTGCGTTATTATTATAGCCAGTTTATCTTCTCATTGCCTGTTATACAGCTAATATTTTCGTAATTGTTATCGTTATCGTCGCCGATATCGTGTGTCCAGAAAGGAAGGTCGTGGGTTATTAAAGGAAGTTAAGTTATGTTGTTGTTGTTCAGGTTATTATAAATACACTTATTCCATTTATTGCAAGAACGTAAAGGTGAAGAACGGTTGCGATATTATTTTAGGCCATATTTTAGCATGTATTGTAAATGTTCCTTTAGGTGTTTCTTGTTTTTGCTAAGTGCCATGAAATCTGCAAACGAGAGGTTAATCAGGTCCATATCTTTCAAACATTTCGCCAACCAATAGTATTTAGGGGTTTTCCTCCTACCGTCAGGGCACCATTTCAAGGACGAGAATATCATATTTTCCTGCGAGTGTCTTAAGCTATGGCCTAGTAATTCTAGTCTCCTCATGGGTATGAGACGATTGATTGGTAGGATGTCGCATCTATTCCAGAGCGTTGTATTTGATGTGTTGTATGGGTAATACGTTTTGGTGATTCTTCTAAGGCATTTGTTTATAAAAGTCTGAATTGTGCTGATGTTACTTTTTGAGTCTTGCCAAGTCTCCAGGCCGTAGGTAAAAATGGGTACAATTAGGGACTTGAAGAGTCTTATTTTTAAATTAGTTGATATATGGTTGGATGACCATAATTTCGACAGTTGATGATAGCGGAGTCTAGCATTATTCGTTCTCGATTTCGTATCTAAAAAGGTGAGGCCTAATGACGTTATCCTGGTTCCTAGGTATTTAAAATCTGACACTAATTCTATCGTATTACCCTCAAAGTTAAAGGGGTTTAAGTGACTCGCGAGGTGATTAGTTTGGTTTTTGTGTAGTTTACTCTTAGACCATATCCATCACAGTTGTTGACAAATAATGATAAAATATTTCTTAATTTGTATTCTGAGTTGGCTAGAATACATACGTCGTCAGCATAACATAGAAAGTTTAAAGAGTTGTGCATATCATTGAGGTGTTGTTGCTCACTGTTATATGTGTTGAGTGCATATTCATTAAAAATAATCGGTGAAAGGATGCATCCTTGTTTGAGGCCTCTATTTGCTTTAAAAGGTTGCGACTTCATATTTAAATGCTGAGGAACTACGCTAAGATTGTCGTAAATTATCTTAATTAGCGCTATCAGATGTTTATCTATTCCAATGTTTTCCAGCAAGGGCCATATCTTATTCTGAATTATGGAGTCAAAGGCTTGACTTAAATCAATCATCAGGGCAAAGATGGGGGGTTTATGCATTCTGGCCTTTTCCAGAATGACCTTAAGTGCCATGGTCAACTCCGTAGTATTTCTGCCCTTCCTGTATGATGTGATAGCATTAGAAAGGAATCTGTTAATGATTGGTTTAATCCTGACTGATATGTATGTGAACATTTTTAGTGTGACTGGAATTAGTGCAATACCCAGTGGCGTAGCTACGGGGGGGGTTTTCGGGTTTGAACCCCCCCCAGAGCAATTAATTTTTTTTTTAGAATATTCGTTTAAAAGACTCAAAAGTGACTTTATATCAAATAAATACCATGAATATTTATATTTTTCTGGTTTTGATGTTTGTGGAAGGATATTATTACTTTTAATTTTAAATATATATATAAATTATTCTGTATATTATTTTAAAGTCATTGATAATAATCTATTAATTTTAATAATATATTATTGATGCATTTTTAAAAAAATATTTATTATAAATTATCCAAGATATGGTTCGATAATAATAATATGAAATAAAAAAGTGCATAATCTACCCCCCCCCCCTCAGAGCAATTTTTTTTAGATTATTCGTTCAAAAGACTCAAAAGTGACTTTATATCAAATAAATACCATGAATATTTATATTTTTCTGGTTTTGATGTTTGTGGAAAGATATTATTACTTTTATATATATATAAATTATTCTGTATATTATTTTAAAGTCATTGATAATAATCTAATAAATTATAATAATATATTATTTATGCATATTTAAAAAAATATTTATTATAAATTATCCAAGATATGGTTCGAAAATAATAATATGAAATAAAAAAGTGCATAATCTACCCCCCCCCCCTCAGAGCCATTTTTTTAGATTATTCGTTCAAAAGACTCAAAAGTGACTTTATATCAAATAAATACCATGAATATTTATATTTTTCTGGTTTTGATGTTTGTGGAAGGATATTATTACTAATATATATATATAAATTATTCTGTATATTATTTTAAAGTCATTGATAATAATCTAATAAAATATAATAATATATTATTTATGCATATTTAAAAAAATATTTATTATAATTTATCGAAGATATGGTTCGAAAATAATAATATGAAAATAGTGCATAATCTACTTTCTCTGCTTTTATTTCTAATAATATATATTTGGTTTATATTTTGTAGCATTTTTATAAATGAAATTATTAAAGAGATTAAATTTATGACTAAAAAGTAAAGATTGTTATTTCCTATTTACGAACTTTAAGATTGAAGGAAATGGACATTAGAAAATATTTACTAAGTAACAAAAAAAATTTACCAGCTAATATCTCATGCAATTTATGCCCTGTTGAAAATGATAAGCATGATATAAATACACGAGGTTAAAAAATATTTAATCCAGTGTACTAATTAATATCTTATGCATTATAGGCTCTATTGAAAATAATAAGGATGATGTAAATACACCAGGTCAAAATAACATTTAATATAAAAGATATTTAAAATTAATAGCTAACTATTTTTATTTTAGAATTTAAAATTAAACACCTAGTCATAGTTTTAACTAAATTAAAATTGCCAGTACAAACCACTTTGGGTAATTTATTATTTTAAATAATATTGGCTAACCAAAATATTTTGACATTTATAAGATATACCCAAACGTAGGAGGGAAGAAAATGATCTTGATACACTCATTTATATACCCAAAGACCATATAAAATCACTACCTAGTACAAGTAATATAATCTATTAAGATTTAAATATTTTTTATTATAGATTTAGATATATCAAGTATTACATTTAATAAAAATGATGATAGTCAACAAAATGAACATACCAAATCACTAATTAATATAGAAAATCAAAATTTTAATGATGAACTTGATATCATAAGCAACAATTTACCACCCACATCAGGTATTTTATAATGACCTTATTTAAATGAATCACTAATTAATATAGAAAATCAAAATTTTAATGATGAACTTGATACCATAAGCAACAATTTACCACCCACATCAGGTATTTTATAATGACCTTATTTAAATGAATCACCAATTAATATAGAAAATCAGAATTTTAATGATGAACTTGATACCATAAGCAACAATTTACCACTCACCTCAGGTATTTTATGAACTTATATGACCTTATTTAAATGTATTCATTTAAATTTTAGAAATACCTAGATACTCTATAAAAAATTATGATAAAAATAAGCTAAATACACTTGATCACTTCAAATCTCTACCTAGTAAAAGTAATGTTAACTATTACCTTTAAATATTTATATCATAATTTTAGGTATATCAAGTATCACATTGAAGAAGAATGATAGTAGTCAACAAAATATTATAGGCTGTATCAATTTAGAATTTAAAGGTTATCTAATATGTTGTTTTATTTTAATTTATTTTTATAGGAATATCTCAATTAATATTCACACCAAGGGGTAAAAAAAATAGTGATAACAAACAAAAAAATACACTAAGTCACAACAAATCACTATCTAATAAATGTAATGTAATCAATTACTTATTAATATTTACATTAAAATTTTAGATATATAAAAAATCTAGGGAGAATTTAAATGGAAATGAAGTTCCACTCATGTCAGGTATTAGTCTTATTTAAATTATATTTATATAAAATCTTAGCAATTCCCACATACTCCAGAAAACTAAAGGATAATAGACAACCAATTATACTAGATCATTTAGAACCATCACCTACTACAAGTGATATAGTCTATTACTTTATACTTATAATAATCAAAAGTTGGTTCCAAAGCTAACATGTCATCTATGATTATTAGCCTAGGTTTCTCAATATTAATTTTAAACATCTATCATATATTGGTAAAAAAATATTGCCAACACAATTTTGATTTTTTCACTTTGAAGGATATCGACTTAAATTTACAGTTTAAAAAAAACATTTATTTTTTAACCTATAGTTTTAATGTGTTTACTAATTATAAAATATATCATTTATAATTAAGGCAATATAATATTTATAATTAAAGCAATTTATATGTGTAATACTAATATTTATAATTAAGGCAATACAATATTTATAATTAAAGCAATATAATATTTATAATTAAAGCAATATAATATTTATAATTAAAGCAATAAATATTTATAATTAAAGCAATATAATATTTATAATTAAATCAATATAATATTTATATTTTAAATAATCGCTTTTTATTTGTAAATAACTTCTAAAAGTATAATAAAATGAAACGTATATCAATAAAATTGTGTCAATGTGTTATTTTAATTAAAATTAGTGGCTCAATTTTAGCCGATATGGCTAACTCAATATATTAGCCAGAAAATTTTGCTCATGGAGATACAAGTTTTATATTATTCGAGAAATCTCTAGGCTTGAACAATATTTTTTGGCAAAAATATTGAGTTAGCTGTTTATAAAAATCAGCTCAAGTCGAGCCGTTTAACAACACTAATTAAAATAATTAATAATTCTAGGACTTTTATATTATCTTAAAAACCAATATCAGGCTTTTATATATGGGCCCCCTCTAAGGAAAATTCCTAGCTACGCCACTGCGTACAACTTATTTCTTTTTTTTTCTACTTGTTTCTTTTGTTTTCCCATCCTTTATTTTGTTATGAAATTGATATATTATACCTTATTTTTATATTGCATTTGAAACTGGTTCTTACCAGTTTCATGAATGATTGTATCGCGATTAAATAACAACTTTTTTTTCCCTTTTTGTTTTAAAAATTATAAAGGTTGAAAACAAAACACCTTTTTGGATCATTAATTATTTTCGTTCGTTTTGTAAATTGATATTTTTTTGAAATTTTACTTTGTTGAATAAACTTCGAATATTATTTTAACTACGTTGTCCAAGTGATTCCAGGACTAAATCGATAAAACCCGGCCCCCTGGATCCCGTCATCGATTATCCCGGACCCCCGATCACGGACTGTATTTTTCCCATTCAGACTAGGGAACCCATCGGTCCAAATATTACAGTTACATATATTTTTTGATTGATATTTTTCTTTTTGATCGGTAATTTTTTTATTTTTTGTGTTATATGTTTTTTTATGAAATTTTTTTAAATATATTTTTTTGATTGATATTTTTTTTAAAATTTATATTTGATATATATTTTGATCGCTAATTTTTTTAATTTTTGCTTATATGATTTTTATAATAAATTTATATTTGATATATCTTTTGATCGCTAATTTTTTTAATTTTTGCTTATATGATTTTTTTAATAAATTTTTTTGATTGATGTTTTTTAATATATTTTTTTAATAAATTTTTTTAAATTTATTTTTTTGATTGATATTTTTTAATATATTTTTTTAATAAATTTTTTTAAATATATTTTTTTAATTGATATTTTTTAATATATATTTTAAAAATGATTATAATATATTTATATTTTACGTAATTTTATCTATTATATATCTTTTGATAGATAATTTTTTAGGTAATAGTGATAAATATCATAATCGTTATTTTTGAACTTTTTTGAGTTTTTTTAAAGCAAATAGATAAAAATATATTTTGTAAATATGTTAAATTAATATTTCAGTGAAAGTGTACTATAGAAAAGTGACAATTGTCATAATCGTTATTTTTGAACTTTTTTGAGTTTTTTTAAAGTAAATGGGTAAAAATATGTTTTGTAAACATGTTAAATTAATATTTCAGTGAAAATGTACTATAGAAAAGTGACAATTGTCATAATCGTTATTTTTGAACTTTTTTTAGATTTTTTAAAGTAAATGGGTAAAAATATGTTTTGTAAACATGTTAAATTAATATTTCAGTGAAAGTGCACTATGGAAAAGTGACATTTGTCATAATCGTTATTTTTGTACTTATTTAAGTTTTTTTAAAGTAAATGGGTAAAAATATGTTTTGTAAACATGTTAAATTAATATTTCAGTGAAAGCGTACTATGAAAAAGTGACATTTGTCATAATCGTTATTTTTGAACTTTTTTGAGTTTTTTTAAAGTAAATGGGTAAAAATATGTTTTGTAAACATGTTAAATCAATATTTCAGTGAAAGTGTACTATAGAAAAGTGACAATTGTCATAATCGTTATTTTTGAACTTTTTTTAAAGTAAATTGGTAAAAATATGTTTTGTAAACATGTTAAATTAAAATTTCAGTGAAAGTGTATTATGGAAAAGTGATAATTGTCATAATTGTTATTTTTGAACTTTTTTGAGTTTTTTTAAAGTAAATGGGTAAAAATATGTTTTGTAAACATGTTAAATTAATATTTCAGTGAAAGTGTACTATAGAAAAGTGACAATTGTCATAATCGTTATTTTTAAACTTTTTTAAGTTTTTTTAAAGTAAATTGGTAAAAATATGTTTTGTAAACATGTTAAATTAATATTTCAGTGAAAGTGTATTATAGAAAAGTGACAATTGTCATAATCGTTATTTTTGAACTTTTTTAAGTTTTTTTAAAGTAAATTGGTAAAAATATGTTTTGTAAACATGTTAAATTAATATTTCAGCGAAAGTGTACTATAGAAAAGTGACAATTGTCATAATCGTTATTTTTGAACTTTTTAATATTTTTTAAAAGTAAATCGGTAAAAATATATATTGTAAAAATGTTAAATTAAAATTTCAGTGAAGATATACCATAGAAAAGTGGCAATTGTCATAATCGTTATTTTTGAACTTTTTTGAATTTTTTTAAAGTAATATATAATGTAAATATGTTAAATTAAAATTTCAGTGAAGATATACCATAAAAAAGTGACAATTGTCATAATCGTTATTTTTGAACTGTTTTGAATTTTTTTAAAGTAAATAGGTAAAAATATATTGTAAAAATGTTAAATTAAAATTTCAGTGAAGATATACCATAGAAATATGACAATTGTCATAATCGTTATTTTTGAACTTTTTTGAATTTTTTAAAAGAAAACTGGTAAATATATATTGTAAACATGTTAAATTAAAATTTTATTGAAGATACCACAGAAAAGTGACAATTGTCATAATCATTATTTTTGAACTTTTTTGTTAAAGCAAGGTAAAATAATATAGAATTTACCCCTATCAATTAACTAAAAGTGCGTATATGATGTTACAAAAATATAAAAAAATAAATAAAATAATGACCTTATAAAATTTGTGAGAAATATTTTAAAAAAAGATTATAAACCCGAGGAAAATTTAAAACATAAATTGGCCAAAGGCCTTCAAAGAGAGAGCCTAGCATAATTCAATAAAATATAGTGGAAAATTTAAAACATAAATTGGCCAAAGGCCTTCAAAGAGAGAGCCTAGCATAATTCAATAAAATATAGTAAAAAAAAAATATCTAAAGGCCTTCATTTTTCGAAAAAAACTTATATAAACTTAGAATGTTATGTGTATAATCTTAGTAATTGTTTAAAATAAATATAAATATGAGGGCTAACTTTGAAAATGCCAAATTTAATTTCGTAATTATATTCATTTTTGAAAAGCTATTTAATACTTTGATAGATTTAAATTTCAATAGTAGCTCTAACTTGTAATTTCAGATCGTTCACTAAAGTGAATTAATATTCAAAATGTATTTACTCACAGAATTGAAATAAATAAGTCAAAGATATTATAGTTAGTTGATATACAAATAACCGATGCAGGATTCTATATTTAAATATATTTCGTAGTTAACATGTAGGAAAAAATAAATTAATCTTACAATTATTTTAATCTTATATTGGCCTACTATTATAAATTATATTAAAAAAACATTTCCGGATGTTATGAAGATTAAAGTTTAATCATAATAGTGGAATTTATTTTCATTTAAAGTGATAAATGTTTTATTAATAAAATCTTGAATTTAATCAAATCAAGGAATGACGATTTGCAGGAAAATATCTCATCATTAATTTTGAATATATAAATAAAAGCGAATTTAGGAATTTTATTGTTGATATTACTGTTAGTGACTTAAAAATATAAAATATATCTAAACTGAAATTTTAATTTAATATGTTTAAAAAACATATTTTTACCCAGTTATAAAAAAAGTTGAAAAATAACGATTATGACAATTGTCACTTTTCTATAGAACACTTTCACTGAAATATTATTTTAACATGCATACAAAACATATTTTTACCGATTTACTTTAAAAAAAGTTCAAAAATAACGAGTATGACAATTGTCACTTTTCTATAATACACTTTCCCTGAAATATAAATTTAACAGGTATACAAAACATATTTTAACCCATTTACTTTAAAAAATCTCAAAAAAGTTTAAAAATAACGATTGTCACTTTTCCATAGTACACTTTCACTGAAATATTAATTTCACATGTATACAAAACATATTTTTACCTATTTACTTTAAAAAATCTTAAAAAAGTTTAAAAATAACGATTATGACAATTGCCATTTTCTAGTGTTGTAAACGAACGCGTTCAAAATGAACGCGTTCGTGAACGAAGTTCGTTTTTTTTGAAAAACGGCGTTCCTTTTTTTTGACAAACTTTGAACGTGAACGCGTTCCTTTTCTTTGATGAACGCGTTCAATTTTACGTTCGTTCAATTTTAAAAACACTTTTTATTTTTATTTATTTGAAAAATTAATATTAATCCACATTTTTTAACAAAAAAGTCTTATATTTTTATTTTTTGAAAAATTAATATTTAATCCAATTTTTTAACAAAAAAGTCTTATATTTTTTAATCAGCTGTTTCTTTTTCGTCTTTCATATTGCAATTAACGTACCATAACGTGATAATGCTAGAGAGGATAAGATTAAAGTTTATTAATTTGAATATTTTATATTTTAATTTAATAGATTAGCATTTGCATGGATATAAATATTTCATCATCAGATTCTGAAAATCAAAATTCAATATTAGATGAATTAGAATTACCAT